AGGGCATCTCTGAGATTGGAATTACGCGGATGTCTCTGGCGAAAGTGACCTGACCACCTGCTCAGGGCATCTCGGAAGCCAGAGGTCAGACCACACTGCAACGTGGGCTGACCACCGCAGGCCAGGGCATCTTGCAATCCATAGTTGCGAGGACGTCTCAGGCGACAGTGGCTGGACCAGAATTGCGAGTATGCTTCACGCGAAAATATCCAGACCACAATGAGACATGACATCTCGGAGGCCAGCGTTGCGAGAATGCCTCAAGCCAAAATGGCCTCACCACAATAGGGCACGGCATCTCCGAGGCCAGAGCCTGATTTCCGCGAGAAACGTTGGGACACCCCCCCCAGGCCCCGAAGGTCACGAAGCGCTGAAGGCCCTTGTAGTAGGGAGCCCTGGAAATTCCGAGAACGCATGTGCGTGCATGTGCATCGGCATGTACGAGCATGTGCGGGTGCGGGGTTCAGCGCATGTGAGTCCATGTGCGGGCCCGCGCTGTCGCCCGCATGGGAGAACACAGGCAATGCGTGCATGTGCCACTGACCGATCTGCGTGCTCCGCACAAGTTTCGCATGTGCGGGCATGTGCACCGGCATGTGCGAGCATATGCGGGCGCGGGGTTCAGCGCATGTGCGTGTATGTACCATTGACCGATCTGCGACGTTCGCACAAATTCCGCATGTGCGGGCATGTGCGTCGGCATGCGCGGGCATTTGCGTTACAACGCATGCAACAAAACCCAGTGCACATTGCCCCGCACATGCCGGGGCACGCGCGCACGCTAGGACATTCATCCAACAGCGCCCGCACATGCCGGGCACGTGCCTGGCACAAGCTGCGCGCATGCACGAACGCGCCCGCCCACGACCGGCCGCGCATGCACCCACCCAGGGGTACAGACGTAGATGCTGTGTACTTTCTTGGGCATGCCCTTAGGATGGGGCCACAAAGCCCGTGCCATTCGTCTAAAGTTATGCTTTCCTTTCGCTGTCTTATGGCCGCGCTCTTCAGCCCAGTTTCTCACCGCGAGACTACTGCAGCCCCCGCAGGAGGAACGTGCATACATATCGAATTTGTCCACATACAGGAGGGCGTGCGACAGGCGCAGTGCCTTCCCACCCACGCTGAGACCCGATGATGACGACCCTCCCGCCCCAGTACGATGCGCGTACACCGCGCCAGTCTGTGCGAACTGTTTGGGCCTACGCTCCGACTTGGCGAGCCGCCCCAGGCCCGCGTGCAAAGCGGAACGCCCGCAAATTCCGCAGCGCCACCTCGCACCCATCCGCTCAAGATGGTGGTGCGACGTGGCAGCCAGGACAGCCTGCGTGCGCGCTTTCGGGCCCGTGGGCTCCGCCTCCGACTTGATAGGGCCGAAAGCCATGCAATCCAAATTGGCGCGGGCGGCTTTGCGACGCGCGAGATGCGCCGCCGCGTCGACCCAACCAACCTCGGGCCTAGCGGTGGCCTGACTCAAGACCTCGCCGACAGCTTGGCCCGCAAAAGTGTCAGCGCACCCGTTTCCTGCAATCTGCCAGAGCTGGTGCAAGGATTCGCCGCCCGTGAGCATCTCGGCTTGATGACTGTGGAAAAAACACAACTTGAATTCCATACCCACCCCTCTCGCTCACGGAGACAGGTGCGCGTTCGTGCCGCGCGGCGGCTGCCTCTGGCGCCCGGGGCTCCTGCCCGTCGCCAGCGGCGCGTTGTCCGCGCGGTGGCGCAGGTCGCCGCTCGCGGCCCTCAGCGCCAGGGGGAAGGCTCGCAGCTCGGCCCGCGGGGCGGCTCGCCTGGGCCCAGGCAGGCCAGCCGCGATGCCCGCCACGGGCTGCGGGGAGTCGTTTTCGCTCTCGGCGAAAGAGCGCATGATGGCTGCGCCGACCCCACGCTGTCGGAGCCTGGGGTCGCTGCTGTGCTCGCCCCCCGAGCCGTCCCCGAACGCGTCGAGGAAGCCGTCGGGCCCGCGCAGGAGCTCGACCTCCCCCCAATTGCCCATCGGGCGCACGGAGTCCTCAGCGCCCTCTGGGCGCATGCTGGGCGGCAGGCCCCGGCGGCCACAAACACGGCGCCACCTCGTGGCCCTCGACCGCCTGTCCAGGAGGCCCTGCGTGGCGGCGTTGTCTTCGTGGCCCTGGTTGCGCGGGCATCTCCAGGCCCTGTGCGGGAGTGTCTCCTGCTGTCCGCAGCGCGGGCGTAGGCCTGCGCTGGCTAGGCCTCGCTCCTGCTGCCGCGCTCTCATCCAGGAGGCGCCCGTCGTGACCTGAAGCTGCAGCGCCCAGGCGCTGCGGTCGCCGTCGCGCCGCAGGCGGGCCAGCTGCCTCCTGGCCCTGCGGAGGTCGGGCCCCCCCTCGAGACCCTTTTCCCGCGTCGTGCTGCGCCGCGCTGCGCCACCACGTGCGCTAGATGCTGGCTGCCACTTCCTCCAGCAACTCGGCATCGTCGATCTCAGTGGATCCTTCGCTCATGCCCCGCAGCTCGTCAACGTCCGACTGCCACTCGACGCCCCTGGGTGCATCCCATCCTGTCGTCATCAGCGTGCAGATGGCCGCCGAGATTGCCCCTTTCACCTTGGCCCATCTGCGCTCTGGCGGCAGCCCCTGCAGCTCCTTGTAGATGTTGGCCCAGACTCTCTTGACCCGCGCATGAGGCTCAGGGTGCCGTCTCCGAAACTGCAGCCATTCTGCCGCCAGCTGCCTTGGTAGCGCCAGCCCAGGGTCGTCGTCGCCCATCAGCAGCGCCACTGTCGTGGCCAGATATCTTCTGGAACCTTTCCCCGCGATGGCTCTGCTGGCCTGCCGTGCCGCCGTGCATAGGACTTGCCGTGGATCAGCGCAGGCTGGGTCCCCATGCGGTGCAGCTTCTGCGCGTACTTGCCCATGCTCGCGCGCCTGCGCAGCCGAAAGATGCAACTGACCCGCTTCGCCACGTTCTTGGCCCGCGTCTTGGCCTGCGTCTGGTCCCTTCTCCGTCCTGCAGTGGTGGCGACCCCCAAGTCCACGCCCGTCTCCACCGCACGTAGAGGGAAGCCCTGTCGGGCAGCCACCTCCGCCACCTGCCTGGCCGCACAGTTGTGGGAGGAGACGACGACGGACTTGCCCGAGAGGACCAGCTTCGCCTGCTTGCGTTGCTCAGCGAAGATCTAGAGCGCTCCGCGCATGCAGTCTGTGGCTATCTGCTTCTTCCCCTCAGTGCGGAAGATGGTGTCGTCCACGAGCATGCTGAGGCCCACCTGCGGTGCCCCTGCGCTGGCGGCCTGCAACAGCGGGTAAAAAAGGAAACACCTGCCCACCTTCACCCCCTGGTTGCTGGCAGCCACGATGGACCTCTCCGCGCTGAGAGGGCCACTCGCACACCCGTGCCTGCGCAGGCGGCGCGGCGCCAGGTAGGCCTGGGCCTCCAGGGAGATGACCGTGCCGGGGAAGGCCTCCTTCTCCGCCACTTCGGGCAGCAGGGTGAGGTCTATGCTGTCGAAGAACTGCTCCAGGTTGAAGTCGAGCAAAGCTTCGATGGCGCAAAAGTTCATGGCGACCGCGCTCTCGTCCAGGATGGAGCGGCACAGGGCGGCCTTCAACACGCTGCTGCCCATGATGGCCGCGTCCCAGCGTTTTCCAGTACATCGGACCAGGCGTCCGTCGCAGAGTCTCTTGCCTTGGACCAACACTTGCAGCTGCAGGATGCCGATCGTGCGGTCACCGCCCCTCGACTTCGGCAGCAAGGCCAGGATTGTTGTGAGCACCTGCCTCGGGCACACGAGGACGGTCTCGGAGGGGGAGGAGGGGGAAGAGGGGGATGAGGAGAAGGAGGGGGAGGAGGAGGAGGAGGAGGAGGAGGAGGAGGAGGAGGAGGAGGAGGAGGAGGAGGAGGAGGAGGAGAGCCTCCCCTCCCCCCTCGTCCTCTCTCTTTCCCCCCTCCCGTTTGGCGTCGGCGGCACCCGAATGCGCTGCAATCGGGTGCCCCCCAGGCGCGAAGCGCCCCGCAGCGGCGGGACACCAGCGCGCGCCCGTGGGCACTGCAGAGAGGTGTCCAGGCGCTGGCCCGCGATGCCGTCGGGAAGCGGGGGCATCCGTGGGGCAACACGGTGCCGAGGGGAAACTTCGCCTGGTGCCGGGGTGGTGCAGTCTCTCGGGTGTCTCTCTGCTACCCCTTTCTGTTCAGTACAGTCGGGGCGTTGACCTAAGGAACCCTAAATAAGGAACGAGGCCCCTTTTTTCCATAAGTTAATCTTCGGTTTCCTGTCAAAAACGTAAGGAAAGCCTTAGGCAAGCTGTGAAACACTTAAGGAACGCGGAGCCCCTCTCCAACGAAAAGGGTTCCTTCTTCAAGGCCCCGACTGTAGATCTTGAGAGGCGAATCGCGACAACGTTGGGGACCTTCTGACCCGGGTCCATCCAAACCCGGGTCAGTCAGCCCTTGCAGGATCCTGCGAGATCCTGCGGGATCCTGCACCCAACTTAGGGTCAGTGCGCCCCTGTCCCTGCAGGATCTTGCAATATCCGGCGCCCTAACCGACCCCCATCTCTTGAGTCCCGACAGCGGCCGCTCAACATCGGTCCCCGGACCCCATCTTGGGGCCCAGCCGCACCAATTTTCAGAGTGGTGCCCAGACGTGGCGGCGACAGCCCCGCCCGAAGACATCAGCTGTTGTCTGAGCTCGCCCACCTCTGGCCAAAAGCCCCAGCCAAAAGAGAGGGAGGAAGAGGAGGAGGAGGAGAAGGAGGAGGAGGAGGAGGAGGAGGAGGAGGAGAAGGAGGAGGAGGAGGAGGAGGAGGAGGAGGAGGAGGAGGAGGAAGATGAGGAGGAAAAGGAGGAGGAGGTGGAGGAGAATGTGGAGGAGGAGGAGGCAGAGGAGGAGGAGGAGGAGGAGGAGTCAGAGGACGAGTCAGAGGAGGAGGAGGAGGAGGAGGAGGAGGAGGAGGAGGAGAACGAGGAGGAGGAGGAGGAGGAGGAGGAGGAGAAGGGCGGGCAAGGGCGAGGAAGGACCCATCGAGGAGCCCCCATGCCTCCATGAAGTCCACGCAGCCTTCGCGGAAGGCCGCGTGCTCCTCGGGGTCCCCGCCCAGCTGGTCGGCGAAGGCACGGAAGAGGCACGCGCCGTCTGCCTCGACGTCCTCTGGCGGGTTGGGTTCGTTCCATTCCGAACCGAACCTAGCTCCAGGAACGCAGCGTGGAGGGCACTGGCGGCGACGTCCACGATTCTGCGCCAAGCTCTGACAGGGATACCATCCTTGCCTGGCGAACTGTCCCCTGTAAGGAGAATGGCCCGTCGGAAGGTGTCCAACGGGACGCTCTGCCATGGCAAATGCGAAGTATAATCCTGCGGAAGGTTCTCTGCGTCGACCTGGAGGGTAAGGATGAGGATGAGGATTCTGTGTGCAGCTGCGCGAGCAGATCGAAGGTTCGCCTGCCAAGTGGTCTATGATGCAACGGCAGCGGCTTTTCTTAGCCGAAAAAAGGGCCGTCTGGGCATTGAAAACCACAACAAGGGAAAAGAGTTCCCTGGCGGCAGCACGTTCAAACTCCGTCGACCAGCTGGTGCAGGCCGGTGAGGGCCGGCAAAGCCGGGTGCCTCTGCTGCGAAGGGCTGCGTTTTGTACAGTGCCGTTGATTCTCGCTCGGACAAGTAGACGACGATGATCAGGAGAGGGGAGGAGTCCTCCTCCGGTTTCTACTCCTCCTTCTTCACCTCCTTCTTCTGCTCCTGTGGCCCGAACACAAAACACGGCTTTGGAACTAGTCGCCTCTGAGCTCTAGTCCCTCGGAACACGCACGCGCGTTGCGCGCTTAGGTTCTAGCCAGCACCCGCACTCGACTTGTTCACTGATGCGTGCATGTGCGCATGTTGTTCACAGCTGTTCGCAGTTCCTTGACAAAGTCACCACTGTAGTGGTGTCTCCTACATGGTGCGAGCCATTGAATGCGCTCTCGCCGCCATTGTTGCCACTGCGACGGCCGCCGTCGCCGCCGTCGCCGTAGCCGTCGTCGTCGCGGTCGTCGTCGTCGACGGCATCGGCGTTGAAAGACTTAGGAAGCTTTCCCATATTTTACGTGGTTGCATGGTCCCCTCCTCCTTCCTCCTCCTCCAGGAACGCATCGGACTACGATTCGACCGGAGTTGCAGGAGGAATGAATTGAACAGCTGGAATAAGATCGTTAGCTCGCTTCGTTTCACTTCGATGTCCGTAGCTCGCGTTTCCCGCGCGCGCTGAGGTTCTAGCACGCTCCAGCCCGTGACCAGCTCACAGCTGCACTCAAATAGACACGCACAATTGCCTTGAACATGAATTGAATAAATAATGAGACCGCGGATCCAACTCAGGCGAATCGACACGGGCACACCCGAAAAAAAAAAGCGAAGCTATGCAACGACGGGTGCCCTTTTGGGCCATCTCTCGTGGACGTCGCGAAAGCCTCTTGAGCTATCCAAGCTATTTCTTGGGCAGTCTTGGGACTCCTTTGAGTCGTCTTGAAGTCTCTTCTAAGCGACGTGGGAAGCTTCGGGGACATCCTAAAGAGCCTGGTGGGTCGTCGTGGTGCCGATTGTGTCCAAGCCCTCGTGGGGCTTCTTTGGGTTCTCTTTGGATCGTCTGGGGAAGCTCTCGGGGGCATCTTGGAAGCCTACTTGGGGCTATTGGGGGCCTCTTCGGGGCACTTTTTGTTTTTTCCTGAATCAATCGGATTCCTCCAGCGTGGGAGTGCTCAAGGTCGTCACGCCCATCTTCACTGCCCTTCCAGGTCCAGGTCACGGAAAAGAACAGTGCAGGGTTTTGCGGGAGTCGAGCCATACCCTTCAGATGACGACGCGCAAAGCGGAGGTGAACGGAGTGAAGGGGGAGAAATGGAGCACGAGGAGGAGGAGGAGGAGGAGGACGCTGCCGACGACTATCAGAGTTTGCCGCTGAATTGACGGCGGCACGCCATCATATAACTACACATATAAAATTCATCAGCCTGCAGGATTCGCGTGCGCATGGACCTAAGACTCTTCCCCCCCTCTTTCGATTGGAATCCCCCCCCCTACGGCGAGCTACCACCCGCGCGCAAAGCGAAAACCAGACCTGTACTGCGCCCGCGTCTGCGGGACGTGCGCCAACTCGCCGCTGCCGCCGTCGCCGCTTGACTCTGCATTGCGCCTACTAGCGTGTGAGCGCACGCCCTGGCCACATGCCGCCGACTCAATGCCGGCGGCGCCGAGGCCCGCACAGAAAGAGCTACACAGGCCACACCACGACAGGGCCTGCCCCCATGGCCAGGCCAGGAAACTATGCTCACGACGTGTCGGCGAAAGCGCCGCCCGAGGAGCCAGAGTCACGGAGTTCAGAGCCCGAGCTCCCCTGCCGCTGAATTGACGGTGACATTTAAACATGAACTGGCAATGGCACCAAAAATATAAATCGCATGTGCCACCCGCGCGCAAAGCGAAAACCAGACCTGGACAGAGCCCACACCTGCAGGACGTGCGCTAAATCGCTGCTACAGCCGTCGCTGCTTGACTCTGCATTGCGCCTACTCGCGTGTGAGCTTACGCCCCGCGGACTCCCCGCCCACGAGGGGCAGATTGGCGAAGGGCTGCCTGCAGAGGTTCTTGAAAACAAGCCCGCAGAGGCGGCGCTCCAGCATGGTGACGATGCGTTTCTGCTCGGCGCGCACCAGCCTCCGGACGCGGATGGTTATCTGCGCCTGCCGTTGGCGCATGGCCCGGGTTTCCCAGCCGACGTCGCTGAACTCTGCCAGCATCATGTCGGAGGTGCCGTCGACGCGGACCCTCGCCATCGGGGAAGGGGTACGGTCCTGCCGCTCTCGGCCGCGTGCCATGCGGTGGCGGCCTTGGTCTTGCACCTCCTCGGACGTACCCGAGCCTTGGTCCTCCGCCTCCTCCTTCTCATCCGCCAGCTCTGCCCCGTCGATGGCGTGGCGCTCGGGATCAGCGCCCATCAAACCCGTGTCGATGCCCACCCGAGCTGGAGGTTGGAATTCCTTCCCGCACATGTTTGTCACTGCCTGGTTCGCCGCCGCAGCCATGAAGAAACGCTTTTTGACGGGGATACCGTAGGTCTGAGCCCGAATGGCTTGAGCCAAACCCGCTTGAGCCAAAATGGATACGGAGGCCTCTTCGGGGCACTTTGGGGGCCTCTCGGGGTCTCTTGGGGGCCTCCTTGGATGTCTCAGAGCGTTCGTGGCCCGACAGACGCCTTCGGAGGCCGTTTTGAATGCCTCCGTGGGTAGTCTGGGCGCTTTCTGGGGCTGTCATAGGGCCGTCCTCGGGGCTTCTTGGGCTCGTCTTGGGTGCCCCTTTGGCCCTCTAGGGGTGACTCTGGGCAGTCTTGGGACCCTCTTGGGAGCTTCATTGCTCGCCTTAACAACAATGGGGGGCCACGCCAGCCGTCTTGGACGCTGTTAAAAGAATCTGGGCGAGAATGCAAAAATAACATGAAACCCAATTATCCGTGAACGTTTTAAAGCTTTCGGAAGATTCCTGGAAAGCCTCTCGGAATCCTTGGCCGCCTTGGGGACCTCTTGGGCCCTGGGCCCTGGGCCCTTTTGCGACCATTTTGGGCCGTCTTGGAAGTGTCTTGGCAGACTCTGAACGTCCTGCGGGGTCGCCGAGTAGGTTGGTAGGAGGCTCAATGGGGGTTGGGGTCGGCTAGCCGATACTGAATAACCTCAGCTCTATCAGGCTTTGTTATCCTGAGCTGTTTGTTCGCTCCAGGAGACCATGGAGGGATTGTGGAGCCTGGGAACGGCCGAAAACGTTCCGTCGTCGTCGTCGCCCGTGGGGAGGGCCTCATGAATCCAAGTCCCAGAAGCCATTTTTGGAACCTGAATGGTGGGAATGTCTGGGAGGCTGTTTGCGGCGTTCCGTCGTCGTCGTCGTCGTCGCCCATGTGAGGGGTCTGATGAATCATGCTCCCGGCAAGCCTTCTGGGGACATGATTTTTGGGAGTGTCTTGGGGGGCCTGCTTGGGGCGTTCCGTCGTTGTCGCCGCCTCTTGGGGAGGCCTTTTGAAGGCGCAAGGAATGATGTCCCCGGAATGCTTGTCGGCAAACTTATCCCAGTGCGACCCTACCTAGGAGTTGGAGCCTCTAGAAAAGCAACATTCGTAGGAGCGGTCAACGCCGTCCTCCTCCTTCTCCTCATCGCCGTAGTTGTAGCAGTAGCGGTAGTAGTAGTAGTAGTAGTAGTAGTAGTAGTAGTAGTAGTAGTAGTAGTAGTAGTAGTAATAGCGCCAGAACCGCCGACACCACGCCGTAAGTGAAGCAGCAGCAGAAGCAGGCAACAAGTCACCGAGACAGCAGCAAAAGCAAGCAGGCACGGAGATGAGGGCGGGGCACTGGGGATTTGTTTACATCTACTTCTATATATACACCTAGATTTACATCGACACCTACATATACATCCAGACCTACATTTACACTTACACCTACAGCTACATCTACATCTACACCTGCATCTACATCTACATCTACATCAACAGCGAGATTCACATCTACATCTACATCTACACCTACATCTAAACCTGCATCTATATCTACACCTACATCCCACCTGCACCTACATCTACATCTACATCTACATCTACATCTACACTTTCGCATTGGTGTTGCTTGTGCTTTGCATTGCCTTTGCTTTTTCTCTTGCCTTTGCTTTTGCCTTTGCCTTTGTTTTTGCTTTTGCTTTTGCTGTTGCTTTTGCTTGGCGTTTGTTGTTGCTTTTGCTTGGTTTTGCTTTTGCTTTGTCTGCGCACGAACACACACACACGCATGTTTTTGCATTCGCTCACCGGGTGTGCTTGAGAATGCTCCGGATCGGGCCTACACCGCAGCATTCCACATGGGTGTTATGTATATATATATATACATATATACATATACATATGCATATATAGAAAGACATTTAGGACATGCGATAATACGTCGAGTTTCATGTCTCCGGGTCAGTGCTATGTGCGAAACCTTCGTGGATTCTAATGGCTCAAGCTGCCCCACTAACGGCTCAAGATGGCCCACAGACGGACAACATGCATGGAACATAAGTGCGCACACACACACACATAGAAGTACACATATACACATATATATATATATGTATATGTATATATATATATGTGTATATATATATATGTAGATGCACATATATATGTACATATATATAGGTATTTGTCGCTGATCGTTTTCAGATCGCTTCGCTGATCGTTGTCCACGTCCTCGTCGTTGTCGTCGCCCTCCTCTTCATCCTCCTGTTCCTCCTGCTCCTCCTCCTTCTCCTCCTCCTCCTCCTCCTCCTCCTCCTGCTAGCCCCTGGCCCGAGGGGAATTTGGGCGTGGGGCACAGGAGCACCCACAGGACCGCCACCGCCGCGCCCTCGACGCTTCCCAGGAGCGTTCGTGCTCGGGCAGCCCCAGTGATGCATCGCCGGAGGGTATGTTCGTATAATGTGGTTCCGTTGAGGCAGGAGTGAAACAAGAAACAACGCCACAAACATAACTTTTGGCGCTCCGCGCGGATTTCTCGGATCTGCGCCAGACCCCCCTCCCTGGCGCGCGGAGCGCGCCAAGGGCACCGCCGGAGGCGCCGCGGGGGGGGTCCCACCGCAGATCCAAGAACTCCGCGCGGAGCGCCAACAAATCATGTTTATGTCGTTTATTCTCCTTCGAAGGAGGGTATGTGGGCGGACATTTCTCAGCAGTTTCGATCGTGAAGGGTGATCGAACTGCAAGAGACACAATGCACATCGGATAGGAGGGGGCTGAGTTGCCAGCAGGATCGAGTCGCGCAGTTTCTCAGATTTCGATGGGAGGGAGGAGGGAGGAGGATCCCCAGGATTTCTGCAATCACAAAGGTGACTTTAAAGTAACCACCCCCTGAACACGATGAGCAGCGCGACTACGAGGGACAGGAGGCACACCCGTGGAGCCCGCCAAGCAGCTTGGCCAGGATTGTTGTGAGCACCTGCCTCGGGCACACGAGGACGGTCTCGGAGGGGGAGGAGGGGGAGGAGGTGGAGGAGGAGGAGGAGGACGACGACGACGAGGAGGACGACGAGGAGGACGAGGAGGAGGTTGACGACGAGGAGGAGGAGTAGGAGGAGGAAGAGGAGGACAAGCAAGGAGGAGAGCAAGGAGGAGCGAGGCGGTGGAGCCCCATCGGCGCCCTCCTCCTCCCCAGGCCTCCGAGCGTCCCCGCGCCGGGCACAAAGGAGGCGGGCGGGCCCCGTCCTTTATCCACAGGCCGCAGGCCTTGAGCAGCTCGCGGTCGCGGCGGATCTCCTGTGCTGCCCGGCCCACGGGGAGGCATTTTCGGCCACGTGGAGGGGCAGGTCGAAGCACCCTGCGACAGCTCAGGCGCCATCCTTCCTCCTCCTCCTCCTCCTCCTCCTCCTCCTCCTCTCCCTGCCCCTCGTCTCCCTCCACCTCCTGCTCCGCGCTTCCTGCTCCGCGCCGTCTTCTCCTCTCCTCCTTCCATCTTGCATCATGCAGCCTTCGATCTTGAGCCGCCTCCTCGCCTCCTCGCCTCTCTCCTCCTACCCATCTCCTCCTCCTCCTCCTCCTCCTCCTCCTCCTCCCTCCTCCCCTCCTCCTCCTCCTCCTCCTCCTCCTCCTCCCACCTCCTCCTCCTCCTCCTCCTCCTCCTCCTCCTCCTCCTCCTCCTCCTCCTCCTCCTCCTCCTCCTCCTCCTCCTCCTCCTCCCCTCCCCTTCTCGTTCCTCGTCCATCCTCCTCGCGTCCTCCTCACCATCATCCATCAGTGTGCTCCTGCTCTTCCATCTTGCATCCTGCATCCTTTGACTCCTCCCACTCCTCCTTCTCATCCTCTACCTCCTTCTCTTTGTGCTCGTCCTTTTCTTCTCCCACATGCTGCTTATGCTCCCCCTCCTCACCGAGAAGAAGTCCCCGAAGCTTCATACCCAACAGCGTGATGAGCACAATGGTACGGCGTCTGCGGCAAGAGGGCCCCAACGCGCAGGGGGCGCACCCTGGGCCACCCTCGCCACGAGGGGTCCAGCGCAGATCCAGGAAGTCCCAGCGAACCTCCGAGCAAACAAGTGGCAAGCGTGCCCTGGCTCTTGCACGAAGGAGCTGCGAAGGACTGGGAAGTCTGGACGGAGGAAGGCTCCCAAGGGTGGGTGGCTCAGGGGAGCTGGGGCTCAGGGGAGCTGGGGCTCAGGCTCAGGGGGGGGGGAACGAGGGGGACGAACCACCACGAGCCACAAACCACGACGAACGTAAAGGGTTCCGCGGCCCAGGGGGGCTGCCCTGGGAAGCCTTAACGGAGGGGGGATCCCAAGGGGGGGTGGCCCAGGGGAGCTGGGGCTCAGGCTCCGGGGAGGGGCCGAGGGGGACGAACCACGACGAACCACTAACCACGACGAACATAAGGATGTCCGCGGCGCAGGGAGGCTGTCCTGGGAAGCCTGGACAGAGCAAGGCTCCCAAGGGTGGGTGGCTCAGGGGAGCTGGGGCTCAGGCTCAGGGGAGCTGGGGCCGAGGGGGACGAACCAAGATGAACCACGAACCACGACGAAAATAAAGGCTCCCGCGGCCTAGGGGGGCTGCCCTGGGAAGCCTGGACGGAGGGGGGATCCCAAGGGGGGGTGGCCCAGGGGAGCTGGGGCTCAGGCTCAGGGGAGGGGCCGAGGGGGACGAACCACCACGCACCACGAACCACGAAGAAAATACAGATGTCCGAGCTCTAGAGCACAGCTGTGCAAGAGAATGATACGCAGCACTCCGCAGATGCGCATAAGAGTGAGGGGGCGGTGGGGACGTCGGCAATTTGCGAGACTCTGGAGAAGCCTGCCGCAGGCGCCAACGTTTCACAACTTGTACAACGAGCCCGCCACAGGCGCCGATTTTTTTCGTTAAACCAATTTGGATAGGTCGCGGGTGGGTCGCGGGTGGGTCGCAAATGGGTCGCAGGTGGGTCGTGGGTGGGTCGCTGTTGGGTCGCGGGTGTACAGGGCAGAACATCCACCCCACAATAATCACCCCGACAAGCGAAGCCGTATAGTAAACGCATACAAGGAATGAGTCGACCAGGGCAGGGCTGTTTAATAAACACCCACGGCCGTTTAATAAACGTCAATTGTTGGGTCCGGGCGGTTTTTCCTCACTTGAGGGTGGGTCGCGGGTGGGTCGCGGGGTGGGTCGCGGGTGGGTCGCGGGTGGGTCGCGGGCGGGTCGCATGGTGGGTTGCGGGGTGGGTCGCGGGTCGGTCGCGGATGGGTCACGGATGGGTCGCGGCTCAAGTGGGTTGCGGGCCGGGTCGCGTGCGGGACGACGACAACACACAACAAACAACAGGCAACAACACCACCACCAACAACAACACCACCAACAACACCAGCAACAGCAATAACAACACCAACAATACCACCACCAGCAACACCAACAACAATACCAACAACGCCAACACCACCAACGCCAACTACACCAACACCAACAACACCAACAACAGCAACAACACACTCAACAACAACAGCAACACCAACAACACCAACAACAATGCCAACAACAACATCAACAACACCACAAACGACAACATCATCAACATCATCGACAACATCATCAACAATGGCAAACCGCACCGTGGAAGCCCACTTCAGCCACGCACCCTGGGACAATGAATGACCGTTCGGCCCCCTCACTCTGATCTATGCAACTTTCTCTTCCTCGACTTAGGGCTGACTCCAGATAACTTGGTATGGGCATTCGGCCGCTACCCTTACAGGCAGAAGCCCCACCAGAAGGGCAAACCAAGTGAAGATGCACAACTCCCTAAACATGAAAAAAAACACAGCTTCCCAAACGCATCAAACATGCAAACGCCGTTTTTTGGGCGTGGTCGGCGGGAATGCTGGCGCTGGCCTTACGAATGGCCACAACACCTACCTAACACGCGTTCGCTACCAACAAAGAAGCTAAGCTAGAAGCCACACGCCGGACAAAAAAACAATAACGCTCCATGTTGCGAACTAGGTCGGCAGCTCAAAAGGAGTACCGTTCCACAACAATGCCACGCCACAACAAATCATCATCCCCACCACCTACACAACAATCAACGTGAACAACCAGGTGCTTGTTCAAGAATTGATCGAACGAGTATATATATATATAGATAGATAGATAGATAGACCGCAAAGAACAACACTGATATACAAACATATCCTATACCCAGAAGATCGGGATTGCCCAAACCACGGGCCCATAAACCGAACCCGGCTACACAAAGCCACTTCTCAACGATCATGAAGCGGATGCTCAAACCACGCCACTGGGTGGACGACTCGTGGACGCAGGCCTACTCCAGATTTCGTAATAAAAGGAGGGGGGTATTTCGGGGGGGGTCTCTTCCAGGCCATCTTGGAGGGCCTGGGGGGTCTGGGGACGATGTTTTGGAGGGTTCTCCCACGGGGGAGGTCTGAAATGGCTTGTCTTGGAGGGTCCAGTCCCCCTCCCTTTTATTACGACATCTGGAGTATTCTAACTGACATCTGCGCCACTGCCTGCGCCCTGCCCCGAGGACAGAGCGGGGGGGCCCGCGGCGCGCGGAGCCCGGCGCCACCGGCCCACACCGAGAGTGCGACGACCAGGCGGCGCCAAACGAGGGCGAAGACGCCGACGACGAGGACGCAGCCGACCACGGCGAGGACGACGCAGACACCGCCCCCCGCGCGGCAGACGTCGGAAACCCGAATTCTCCAGGATGCAGGCCTCGGACAAACATATCGAACGCGCATGCCACGTTCATCGGTCAACCCCTCCCCCTCCCCCCAATTAGGAAGGCACCAACTATACACCAACACCGATCCTGGCCAGGATCACCCTGGGCCCAGGATCGGTGTATACGCCCTCCTGCCTTGGGCAAGAAGGCATATACACCGATCCTGGGCCCAGGGTGATCCTGGGCCAGGATCGGTGTTGGTGTATAGTTCGTGCCCTCCGACCAATGCTCAAGTCGGCGGCGGTTCTGATGAGTTGCACTTCGACCGCAGTCCTGCCCGCGCGTGCCAGCTTTCCATGTGGGGGAGCGGTGGACTGTCCACGAATTGCTCCCCCTGCCGTAGCTCTGGTCTGGGGCCACTCTGGCTCGGGGGCCCCCGACGCACGGACCAGGAGTTACCCTGGCCACCCCCCACCCCGAGGATTTGGGAGTGGCTGGTCGCCTGGCTTATATCCGGGACGACTCCGGGGCGGGGTAGCTCTGGCCTGAGCCCCCGACGCTGACCATCCCCAGCCCCCAATGATTCGGGGGCGGTCGGACGCCCGGACACGCCGGAGGGACTCTGGTCTGGGGCGGCTCCGGCTTGGGCCCCCCGAGGCACGAACCAGGAGCTACCACCCCCGGCCCCGGCGCTTCGGGGCGCCGCAGACGGACGGCGGCTCTCACGGGGATCTCCTACCCCGGGTCAACCAGCCTCGGGTCAGCAGGAAAGCCCCCAAAAAACTGCAGTGCAGGAGGCAACAACTGCAGCGCGGGGCTCCGCAGACTCGGGTCAGCCAGCAGGCGCGGCCGCCTCGCGGCCACGAGCGGCTGGCCAACCCGGGTCGGCCAGAGGGGGCCTCCGCAGGCTCCTGCAGGATCCGCTGCCTTGGCTGACCCCCGTCTGCACGGACCCCCGTCTCTTAGGCTCCGCATCTCCTTCTCCCACGTCTCGCCGGCGCTCACGCCGAAGCCCTCCGCGGGGGCCTTGCGCACCACGGGCGTAACCTTCGGCACCTGCCGCGGCGCCGCGCCCCGCCCGGGCCACGCGAGGTGGTCCTTGGCACCGGGCGATGGGCTCGGTGTGCTCTCGCGGCCCTCCTGTGGAGGCCTGGGAAGGGGCACCAACACCTGCACAGGGGGCGGCCTCCACCTGGGCAGGACGATCCTAGATTTCGGTATCGGTGGTGATCTTTCGGCCGCATGGAAGCCCGAATATTACCACCATCGCCGAGATCGGGATCATCTTCCCTCGGTGAAGGCACACCACCAATAGTGGTGTTGGCGCCAACCTCTAGGCCTCCGACTCCTGTGGAGTTAGGTCCTCGTTTCGAAGCCGCAATGCCGCGCATCTCCTCCTCAACAACCACAATTTCTGAAAACCTTTCTCGGCCCTCGCCGCGTACTTATTTTGTGTAAGACCAAATGTCAGACATTGATTCGTGTCATGCTTTTTCGATCCGACTGTTCTCGGTGTTTCAAATACTTCTCACGCTGTAGCGTGGGCCTCATTTCTTGATTGGTACTTCGCTCCCGTCGTTCAGAATGGCACTCTCGCCCCAGCGCGTGCCATTTGAATCGTTGTCGCCCCCCTCATCCCCCCCCCCCTCCGTCTTACCGTGGTCCTCCAGCTCTTCCCGCTCCTTCCACTCAAGCTCCTGCTGCTGCTGCTGCTGTCCGTCCTCGTCATTATCCTTCCTTTATCCAACTTTTCCCCCTGCTCATCCCCCTGCACATCCGCCACCTCCTCCTGACATGTCCGCAGCTCCGTTGTTTCTGATCATTTCCGAATGCGTAAAACAACGATGGAATTCTCTTTGGAGTCAAGGGTGCCCTTGGGAAAATTGCCCATCCGTGCTATGTGGATCACATGTCAGAGTGAAGGGGCCGAACGGTCATTCATTGTCCCTGGGTGCGTGGCTCTAGTGCGGATCCGTGGTGAGGATTCTGCTTGTTGCGTTGTTGTTGCTGTTGCTGTTGCTGTTGCTGTTGCTGCTGCTGCTGCTGTTGTTGTTGTTGTTGTTGTTGTTGTTGTTGTTGTTGTTGTTGTTGTTGTTGTTGAATTCTCACTTCTGAAGAATAATTATTGTTGGTCCCCCCCGTCCGGTGCACATTGTTTTTTCGATTGAAGACCTCGCGCCTTGTTTTTTGTCAAAGGAAGTCTCGAGGGTCAAACTGCGTTGTCGGCCCCCGGTCTACAACAGCAACGGATCCCGCCTCATACTTCCTCACAATGTATTGAAGAATCGCGCTCTCGCTTGGGACTTCCTTGCAATTTACCACTGGATCGCGGCTCCCGCTTCATACTTCCTCACAATTCATTGAAGGATCAGTCTCTCTCTCTCAGTCTCGTCCTCTCTCTCCCTCTCTTTATGTATTTATTTGTTGTTTCTCTCTCTCTCTCTCTCTTTCTCTTGTTTTCTCTCTCTCTCTCCCTCCCCCAATCAAACATCTTAACATGATTGTTGTTGTTGTTGGTGTTGTGGTTGTGGTTGTGGTTGTGGTTGTGGTTGTGGTTGTGGTTGTGGTTGTTGTCGTTGTCGTCGTTGTTGTTGTTGTTGTTGTTGTTGTTGTTGTTGTTGTTGTTGTTGTTGTTGTTGTTGTTGTTGTTTGTTGTCGTCGTCTCCCCTGCGACCCACCCCGCGACCCACCCCGCGACCCACGCCCGACCCACCCGCGGCCCACCCCGTGACCCGCCCGAGACCCACCCCGCGACCCACCCTGCGACCCACCCCGCGACCCACTCCGCGACCCACCCCGCGACCCACCCGCAACCCACCCGCGACCCACCCCGCGATCTACCC